TGTCTTAATTCAGTTAGGGCAGTTCCCACTGCCAAATCTTACTTATATAAAATAGTAGTCACAGAAGTCATCAAGGATGCTGGGAATCCCTTTACCAATTTGTTGCTAACTGTTGTGGTAAACGGTGTGTCCTCTTGGCACTCCGTGGGTGGGTTGCTGGGTCAAACCTGGTAAATGCAATCTAACAAGCCAATTTCCCTTCGCCTTTGGATACCTTCTTCTATAGTATACCAAGACAGGTCTGGCATTTCAACTGGATTTAGTGCAGGCTGCAGCTTAATCCATGCTTCAGTGAATCAACTAAATAAACTATTGGATCTTTTTCTAACCCCTCAAGCTGAAACACTGAATGAAGACCCTATGCTTAGTGGGCCTATATCGATAAACTCAGACTGATCCAACTTTATGTTCCTTGCACCGTTATCCCACACCCTTAATAGGCATTCCCACACATATTCCTGAGGTTTCTGTTTGTACGTATTAGAAAAATCAAGCAGTTCTTTTGAAGTGTAATATCCCTCATCTAGGGTCACAGTTTGTACTTCACCTCTTGGCGCTTGCTGGGATTTAAGTCTAGTTATAGTTCTAGAAGCAAAAATGGGTGGAGCGGCTTAGCAGATAAAGGTGGAGTAATCTCTTCAGATGGGAGTAAGAGGGCTGGTTCTGTTTGCAGGGGTGATTTTATGGAATTTAGGGGCTCAGTGTCCCCAACTTCCTGATTATGTGCCCATATGTCCCCATCCCAAGTTTAAGATCCCATTTCTTCTCAATCAATGTCTTCACTTTAACTTCCGACACCATTTGAGGTTGGGAAGTCAGCTTTCATTGTAATTTAGCCATTCTTATGAGAAGACTCCCCCATGTGTCTGTCAGTTTGTCATACTATGGCAGCTTGTGTGTTGCTGGAGATAGCATGATAGAATTTTGCAAGACCAATGACTTCTTCATTGCAAATACCTTTTTTCAACAACATAAACGATGACTAGACATGTAGACCTCACCAGATGGAAGACACAGGAATCAAATCGGCTACATCTGTGGAAAGAGACTATGGAAAAGCTCAATATCATCAGTTAGAACAAGGCCAGGGGCCGACAGCACTACAGACCATCAATTGCTCATATGCAAGTTCAAGTTGAAGCTGAAGAAAATTAGAACAAGTCCACAAGAGCCAAAGTACAACCTTGAGTATATCCCACCTGAATTTAGAGACCATCTCGAGAATAGATTTGACACATTGAACACCAATGACCAAAGACCAGATGAGTTGTGGAATGACATCAAGGACGCCATGCAAGAAGAAAGCAGGAGGTCATTAAAAAGACAAGAAAGGAAGAAAAGACCAGAATGGATGTCAGAAGAGGCTCTGAAACTTGCTCTTGAATGCCGAGTAGCTAAAGCAAATAGAAGAAATGATGAAGTGAAAGAACTGAACAGAAGATTTCAAAGGGCGGCTCCAGAAGATAAAGTAAAGTATAATGACATATGCAAAGACCTGGAGTTAGAAAACAAAAGGGAAGAACTCACTCAGTTGTGAATCTGACTATTGTGATCTGTAGGGTTTTTACTGGCTGATTTTTGGAAGTAGATGGGTCACTAGGCCTTTCTTCCTAGTCTGTCTTAGGCTGAAAGTTCTGCTGAAACCTGTTCAGCAGCATGCCTCCACTGACAAATGAGTGGTGGCTGCGCATGAGGTGCATTGTCTAGGAATCAAACCCAGGCATCCCACATGGAAGGCAAGAATTCTACCTTGGAACCACCAATGTCTCACAGTTCTAACTTAGGGGTCTATAAGGAGAAATTGGACAGGCGTGCTTTGAGTTCATCATAGTTGTGACTCACTGTGTTCACAGCCCTGGGAGCACACTGTGTGGTGTTCCTCAAGAGCAGGAAACACGAAGCATCGAGGGATCTTTTTCAGGAGTGATGTAAGGCAGGCGAGAAGCCTACGGACACTGGGTTCTGGCTAGGTGGCAGGTCTCTTAACCCATCCTTGGTCGTCTGCATGGTTGGTTATTTTGCGCTAATTTTACAAAGTATTTCCCACCTAGGACTTCATTTGACCCTCAGAAATTTTTGCAGGGTGTGGGTCAAGGGAATGTATTATTTTCCCTACTTTAATTATTGAGAAATTGAAAGTCAGAAGCACTCAAGGTCGTACAGCTAATAAGTGGCAGAGAAACCCAAGGCTTTTCCTTACTCTAATCATCATTCCCCGATGTCATTGGCTCAGATTTCACTTGGTTTTAAAATTTGTGTTTTTTCGTCTGTATCTAGTCTTCTCGGTCATTTGTTTCCAGAAAAAAAGTAGGAATCTAAAAATACTCATCAGCTTCCAGTTAAGGTGTAAAGAACACATAGATTTATCTCCTCTCTCTGGTGAAACCCCAATGAAATAACAGCAAAAGTATAAAAAGGCTTCCACTCGCAAATACAAAGAAAATAAGAGAGGAGGTAACGGTTAAAAAGATATGTGGTTGCGTTTTTGCTGGGGGCAAATCAGAAAACAGAGTGGTAATGCCTGGAGATTGGACTCTTCTCCTGTAGCATCATGAGGGGAGCCTCGCTGCACCGGTGGCATGATGGGAGTTGGGGGACCTCGTGCATCCTGCTAGACCTGGGTCTGAAAGTTTCTGCTTTGAGCCTACACTGTGTGGTGTTTGTGTGTGTGTGTTTTTTAAAACTTTTTATTTTGAAATACTTATAGATTTGCAGGAAGTTGCAAAGATAATACAGAGAGGTCCCATGTACCCTTCACCAAGGTTACCTAAGTAGTTACGTTTTGCACAACTCTAATACAGTATCAAAACTAGGAATTAAAAATTAATACTATGTGTGTGTATAGTTCTATATCTTTTAAAAAAATTATTGTGGTAAAATATATTTAACAAAAATTTTACCATTTTAACCGTTTTTAAGTGTGCAATTCAGTTACATTAATTACATTCACAGTGTTGTGCAAACATCCCCACTATTTCCAAAACTTTTTCATCACTCCAGTACCTCTTAAGCATCAACTCATTTCCTGCCTGCCTCCCAACCCGTGGTAACCACCAATAAACTTTTGTCTCTATGCATTTTCAGACTTATTTCACTCATTGTAATGTTTCAAGGTTCATCCATGTCATAGCATATATCAGAATTTCATTCATTTTTATGGCTAAATAATATCCCATTGTATGGATATGCTGCAGTTTGTTTATCCATTCATCTGCTGATGGACATTTGGGTTGTTTCCACCTTTTGGCTATTGTGAATAGTGCTGATGCAGTGAATGATGTACAAGTATCTGTTCGAGTCCCTGATTTCAAGTCTTTTGGGCACATACCTAGGAGTGGAATTGCTGGGTCATATGGTAATTCTATTTAACTTTTTGAGGAACTGCCAAAGTGTTTTTCATAGTGGTTGTAACATTTTATATTCCCACCAGCAATGTATGAGGGTTCCAATTTCTCCGCATCCTTGCCACCACTTGTTATTTTATGTTTTTCTGATGATAGTCATCCTATGGTGTGTGAGGTGGTATCTCATTGTGGTTTTGATTTGCATTTTCTTAATGACTAATGATTTTGAACGTCTTTTCATGTGCTTATTGTCCATTTGTAGATCTTCTATGGAGAAATGTTTATTCAAGCCCTTTGCCCATTTTTAAAAATTGGATTGTCTGTCTTTTTGTTGTTGAGTTGTAGGAGTTTCTTTATAAATTCTGATATTAAGTCTTATTAGATATATGTTTCCCAAATATTTTTTCCCATTTTGTAGGTTGTCTCTTTACTTTCTTAATAAAGTCCTTTGATACAAAAGCGTTTTTAATTTTGATGAGTTCCAATTTATCTATTTTTCTTTTGTTGCTTGTGCTTTTGGTGCCATATCTAAGACCCTATTGCAAAAAACAAGGCCCTGAAGCTTTATTCGTATGTTTTCTTCTAAGAGTTTTATGGTTTTAGTTCTTTCTATATCATTTTATCACATGTGTAGATTTGTGTAACTACCACTGCCATCAATATACAGAACTGTTTCATCACCACAAAGATCTCCCTTGTGTTCCCTCCCTATAGACACATCCACCCCCTTTCTCTCACCATCTCTAACTACTCGAAACCACTAATCTGTTATCTATCCCTATAATTTTGTCTTTCTGAGAATATTATATAAATGGAATCATACACTGTGATCTTTTGAGATTGGATTTTTTTCACTCAGTACGATGCCCTTGAAATCCATCCAAGTTGTTGTGTGTACCAATAGTTTATTTCTTTTTATTGCTGAATAGTCCATTTGCTTTCAAACTACCTGTATAACTATATTTAAAGTGAGTTTCTTATAGACAAAAAAAATAATTGGGTCAGTTTTTTAAACCTACTTTGTTAATCTCTGACTTTTAAGTGGTGTATTTAGAACATTTAATGTAATTATTCATCTGTTAGGTTTACGTCTGCCATTTTTTTTTCTGTTTGTTCTGTTTCAATTTTTCTTAGCTTCTTGTGGATGATTTGAACATTTTTTAGAATTCCATTTTGATTTATCTTAGTGTTTTTGCATGTATCTCTTTCTATAGCTTTTTTAGTGGTTGCTCTAGGTATTACATTTCATATACATAATTATGACAGTTTACTGGTGTCTGCTGGTGTTGAGGACTGGTATTGAGGACTAAGGTGAGCCTGACCCAATCCATGGTATTTTCAGTCACCTCAAATGAGTGCGAAAGCTGAACAATGAATAAGGAAGACCGAAGAAGAATTGATGCCTTTGAGTTATGGTGTTGGTGAAGAATATTGAATATACCATGGACTCGCAGAAGAACGAACAAATCTGTCTTGGAAGAAGTACAGCCAGAATGCTCCTTAGAAGCAAGGATGGCAAGACTTCGTCTTACGTACTTTGGACATGTTATCAGGAGGGACCAGTCTCTGGAGAAGGACATCATGCTTGGTAAAGTAGAGAGTCAACAGAAAAAAGGAAGACCCTCATCAAGATGGATTGACACAGGAACTGCAACAATGAGCTAAAACATAAGAACAATTGTGAGGATGGTGCAGGACTGGGCACAGTTTCATTTTGTTGTACATTGGGTCACTATGAGTCATAATTGACTCAGTGACACCTAACAACACAACACCCAGTGTTGACATTTTACTGGTGCGAGTGAAGTGTAGAAACGTTATTTCTCTTTACATTCCTTTACCCTTTATAATATAACTGTCTTAAGTATTTCCTCTACATACATTGAGAATCACATCCGACAATGTTATAATCTTTGCTACAACCATCAAATATCATTTAGAAAACTCAAGGAAAATTTGTTGTATTTACCCATATTTTTGTTCTTTCCATTGTTCTTCCCTCCTGATGTTCCAAAATTCCTTCCTTTATCATTTCATGTCTATTTTTTGTTCTTGGGTGCCATTGAGTTGGTTTTGACTCATAGAGACCCCATGTGATGGACTACTACTGCCCCATAGGGTTTTCTTGGCTATAATCTTTATGAAAGCAGATTGTCAGATTTTTCTCCCGTAGAGCTGCTGGGTGGGTTTGAACGGCAAATTTTTTGGTTAGTAGCTCTGAGTGCTTAACCATTTGCACCACTAAGGCTTCTTTCATTTTTGTCTAGAGCACCTCCTTTAGCCCTTCTTTTAGGGTAAGTCTGCTGGTGACAAATTCCCTTAGTTTTCCTTCATCTGAGAAGGTCTCATCTTCCACTTTATTCTCAAAGGATATTTCTGCTGATATAAAAGTCTAGGTAGGTAGCTTTTTCGCATTTGAAAAATGTTGTGCTACTTCTTTCTGCCTTTATGTCTTCTGGTGAGAAACTTGCTGTTGTTCAAATTGCATTTACCATATAAGCAAGGTGTCATTTCTTTCTCGCTTTCAAGATCTTTTCTTTGCCTTTAGTTTTCAGAAGGTTTACTCTGACGTGTCTTGGCACGTGTTTGTTTGGATTTATCCTGTTTGGTGTTCAGTTAGGTTTTTGAATCTGTAGGTTTATGTCTTTTTTTAAATTTGGAAAAATTCAACCATTTTTCTTTGAATACTTTTTCAGCTTTCTCTTCTCCTTCTGGGACTTGGATGACATGAATGTTAGAAGGCTGCTGTTTGTAGTTTTTCCCCCAAAAGCTTTTGAGTTTTATTTGGCTTTTAAAACTATTCTCATGAAATGATTTGGTACAAGTTAAGATTTTTGAAAAAAGCACATTCCTTCCTCTAGAGTAAGAGGATGAAACATAAAATTACAAACAATTCTTCTCCTTTGTCCATTTCTGCTTAGTGTTTGGTGGTTTTTGACTCTGGATTAACTTTTTAGAGACATGAGGCTATAAGCTTCTTGGTTAGTCCACAAGCTTCTTGAGGGCAGGGAGGGGATTTCATTTATGTTTTTATCTCAGCCCAGCATGGGTTGTTCAATGAATTGATGGAGAGGACATTATTTTATATGTGTAGCATTCACTCAGCAAACACATATGGTCCTGCCTTGCACATCAATGTTGCAGGGACACAGTTCTCAGTGGTGCCCCCTGTAGGAAGTGGTGCATGTCAGGAAGGCAGTGCTGGGCGGTGGGCAGAGTATAGGCTTTGGGGCCAAGCAGATCCAGAGTCAACCCTGGCCTTGCTGAGCTGTGAGGCTTGGAAAGTTATTGACGTCCATAAGGCTCAGTCATCTGTTAAGTGGGGGTAGCGGTGCCTACTTACTGCTCTTGCTTGAGATTACAGGAAGTCAGCTATGAGGCCAGCACAGTACATACCACAAGCTTCCCTTCCTCCTCCTCCTCCAGGATGTTACAGCCTCATTGGGGAAGTTCAACTTGTATTGAGTATTTGCCTTATTCAAGGCACCTGATGATCATTGGCCTTAATGGTGGACCTATTTGCTTGAAGAAGTTTCTGTAGCTCCTAGGGAGGGAATATAGCATGGATTCTGGGTCCAGTCATCCTGGGTTTGAATCCCAGCTCTTCCCTGTGCTTTCTGGGTGACCTTGGGCAAAGTACTGAAGAGTTCTGTGCCTTGGGGTCCTCATCTGTAAAGTGACTATAGTAATAGTGCCTTCTTCAGAGGGTTGATGGGAGACTTAAATTGTAATATGTACAGGTAAGTGTCTGGAACGTGCCTGGCTCTGTAGATGCATTTGCTATTATCCCATACCCTGTGCTTGAGGGTAAAACAATGGGCTTTGAATGGGGTGAAAAGACTCTTAGAAGTCTTATTCTCTAATCCCAGCCCCAAATTAGAGATAAGGAAATCAAAGCCCAGAGAAGAAAAACTGACTTGTTCCAACACAAAACTCAGTGGTAGAGGCAGACCAAGCACCCGACTCCATGGAAGCCTTGTACTCTTTCTGGATCTTTCTAGATCAGCTAAGGGGGGCTCAGTGGAACTTTGTGTTTCATGCCTGTCTGTGTCATCTCTCAACTGGTGGAAGTTGCCCAAGACAGGTGGGAGCTGCAGACACGTAAGGCTGGAGTGGCCCACCTACTTGCCTGCCTGGGTGCAGGTATTCATCTTTCCACCTGGGAACAGCAAGCTGGCTGAGAAGACATCTCCCCTCATCTTCTTTGCAGACTGAAGGTTTATGGAAGGTGCAGGGACCCTCCAACTTGGGGTGTCTTTTGGGCTTTATCCCCTGTCTGGGCCCTGCAGATGGGTAGGTGGGTGACCTGTGTAGTGTCTTCACAGGAAGGTGGTGTGTGAGTGCGGCTACACACGTGAGCAGCACTTGGAGGAGGCCATCAAGGCCCACGTGTTCCAGGGCAAGGAGTGGGACCCCAAGAAGCACGTCCAGGAGATGCCCACAGATGCCTTTGGTGACATTGTCTTCACAGGCTTGGGCCAGAAGGTGGGAAAGGTGGGTATCTATTGCTCTGGTGCTCTTCATTGTGGGCTCAAGCTCACTGCTGATGGTCCCGGAGTCCCCATGGCAGCCCCAGGATGGCACATGGCAGCCCCATGATGACACGCAGCAGTCCCATGGAAGGTTGGGGTGGGCAGGCTGAGGTGAGCAGGCCGAAGGGGGCAGGCTGGGGTGGGCTGTGGCCCTTTGGACATGTGCTGACCATGAACAGCTGCAGCCTGCTAACACAGGGTCTCCTCCCACTGACCTTTCTCTGCAGTATGTCCGAGTCTCCCAAGACACACCCTCCAGCGTGATCTACCATCTCATGACCCAACACTGGGGCCTGGATGTCCCTAACCTCTTAATCTCGGTGACGGGTGGGGCCAAGAACTTCAACATGAAGCTGAGGCTAAAAAGCATCTTCCGGAGAGGCCTGGTCAAGGTGGCCCAGACCACAGGTAAGAGCACGGGATGGACATGAGGCTTCTGCTGGAGGGGGTGCCCAGAAAGCAATGGGGGGTGGAGGTGGGGTGAGCAGGCAGCTCCAGGTGAGGATGTCCCTCCAAGGCTGAGTGATGGCCGTGGGGATTGGAACCCTTGGGTTCATGGAGTCCATGCCTTTATAAATGTCCTGTGGCTACTGTAACAAAGCACCACACACTAGGGGATTACAACAACAGAAATATATTCTCTCACAGTTCTTGAGGCCAGAAATCTGAATTCAGGGTGTTGGCAGGGCCACACTTCCTCCAAAGGCTCTAAGGGAGGATCCTTCCTTGTCTCTTCCAGCTTCTGGTGGCTCCAGGCATTCCTTGTCTTGTGGCTGCATCACTCCAATCTCAGCCTCCATCATCACATGGCCATTGTCTTAGTTATCTAGTGCTGCTATAACAGAAATAGAACAAATGGATGGCTTTAACAAACAGAAGTTTATTCTCTCACAGTTTAGGAGGCTAAAAGTCGGAATTCAGGGTGCCATCTCCTAGGGAAGGCTTTCTCTCTCTGTAGGTTCTGGGGGAAGGTCTTTGTCATCAATCTTCCCCTGGTCTAGGGGCTTCTCAGTGCCAGGACCCCAGGTCCAAAGAATGTGCTCTGTTCCTGGTGCTTCTTTCTTGGTGGCATGAGGTGCCTCTCCTCTCTGTTGAATTCTCTCTTTTATATCTCAAAAAAGATTGACTCAAGATACGACCTAATCCTATAGAGTCCTGCCTTATTAACATAACTGCCTCTAATCATACCTCATAAACATCATGGAGGTTAGGATTCACAACACATAGTATAATCACATTAGATCACAAAATGGTAGACAACCACACAGTACTGGGAATCATGGCCTGGCCAAGTTGACACACATTTTGCGGGGGACACAATTCAGTTAATAACAGTTGTCTTCCCTCTGTGTATATGTCTGTGTTTCTTCTCTTTTCTTGTAAGGTTTAGGACCCACCCTACTCTAATATGACTTTATGTTAACTAATTACATCTGCAAAGACCTGATTTCTAAACAAGGTCACACTTACAGGCACCAGGGTAAAGACTTGAACAGATCTTTCAGGGGACATAATTCAAGCCATAACACCCCCTCACCTGCAGATCATGACCCTGCACCTGGATAGAGAAGCATTGGATCAGACTCACCCGACTCCCAGCTCCTCCCTTGACACCCTGCTGCTGCCTTCCAGCTCATTCATGGGACATAAATGGCTCCAGTATATAACCCAACTAGTGACTTGCACCCACAGGTTGCCCTGAGTCACAAGTTTATGGGATGGCATGGGCAAATGATTCCTGAGGGGAGCAGAGTAGCTTGGGTTCATCATGGGGATATTAGTGAGCATTTCTGAGAACCAGACTCTGTACCTATCACCTAATCTTTCCATCAGCTTCAGGGAAGTAGGTAGATTATTTCCATCTTTAAACTTAAGAAACTGCCTCGTTGAAGTTAAGTAACTTCCCAAGGTCACACCACTAGGAAGACCATGCAGGGGCCAAGACTTCTATCTCGTGTTCTGCAGAGCCCAGTATGTCACAACATGCTGGGCTACATGCCTTTGGGGACCTGAGGTTCCCTCAAAGTGATGACTGATAAGTAGAGTGTCTGTGTTACCAAGGTTGGTCACACTGGGGCAGAGTAGCAACAAGAAAAGCCATGTTTTTGGGTCCAGATGAGAGCAGAGTCATACAGCAATTCCAAGGGCTTGATTTTCACAAAGAATGTGAGGTCCACCCTTGACTTAATCTTTGCCCTAACCCAGTTACCATCACATTGATTCTGACTCATGGAGACCCCATGTGTGTCAGAGGAGAAATGTGCACCATAGTTTTCAATGGCTGATTTTTTGGAAGTAGATTTTCAGCTTTTCTTCTGAGGTACCTCTGGGTGGACTCGAACCATCAACCTTTCAGTTAGCAGCTGAGCCTGTTAACTGTTTGCATCACCCAGGGACTCATAGGCTTTTGCCCTGAAATAGTCTCAACCTGAGTCTTAATTGGCCTTTCTCAGTTTTACCATTTCCCAGTGGGTGATGAAGACCATCACCTTTTCCTCCATCCCTGCCTGTAAACTGACTGAGTCTTTTCTCAGTCTGCTTGAGTGGGACTCAGTCAAATGCAGCTCACCGTCATCCAAGTACACCAGTGACCTTCGCAGCCTCTTCATCTAATGCTGTGGCTTTATTAGGTGCCCATCTGTCTCCCAGGTAATCACAGATGGCAACTTCACCACATGTCTTGCCCTTGTATCATTTTGGCCTTCAGTGTCAGTGTCCTTGCTACCCACTGCCCAGCCCAAAGCCAGTGCTACATGTTTTAGATTTTTAAAATTTGTGGCAGCACCGTGGCCTTGCCACATTCTGTAGTATTGGTCAGCATTGTGTAGATAACCAACAACCCAAAGCATCAGCAAACATTGCTTTGTGCTTATGGTTCAAGGCAGTGGCTGTGGGTCAGGGCTGCAGCTCCACCCCATGTATTTTCTCAGTTGGGGACACGGGCCAGAGGAACAAATCTTACTTGGGACCTGCTGTTCTTGTGGCAGAGGTAGTGGAGCAAAAAAATTTGGCGTGAACTCACTATGCTCTGATGTGGTGGTTGTTCTACCAGCCTGCATGCCGTTGAATAGAGCAGGCCCCCGGTCAAGCCCAACAATGGGGTAGGGAAGCCGATCCCCTACAGGGAGCCATTGCGTGTCCTGTGGCCACAGTATGTGGGTGTAATCCCTTACAGGGAACAGGGAGCAGGAATACAATCTACCACACATGGATCCCAAAAGCTGAGAGGAAGAAGGGAAGTTCTTAAAGTAGAACAATAAGTAGAAATAGGAGCAGGAATAGAAATAGAAGTAGAAGTAGAAGTAGATATAGAAGATGTAGAAGTAGAAGCAGCAGAAATATAAGAAGTAGAAGCAGAACAGAAGTAAAAGTAGAAATAGAAAAAGTAGAAGCAGAATAGAAGTAGAAGAAGTAGAAGTAAATATATAGGAAGATGTAGAAGTAGAAGTAGAAGTAAATATATAGGAAGACGTAGAAGTAGAAGAACTGGAAATAGAACTAGAACTAGAAGAAGTAGAAGCAGAAATAGAAGAGGTAGAAGTGGAAGAAGCAGAAATAGGAGAAGTGGAAGAAGTAGGAGTACAAATAGAAGAAGTAGAATTAGAAATAGAGGAAGTAGAAGCAGAAATAGAAGAAGTAGAAGTAGAAAAAGTAGAAGTAGATTTCAGAGAAATTTCCCAAGATTGGGACAGAGAGGAGGTAGCAGGGAGATGGGAAGAGGGGATGAGACCTGGTCAGAAGATGGATCCTTGTTCCTGTCCTCCCTCTTCCTACCTGAGCAACATGGAAAGCCATTGTCCTGTGGTTCCCTGAGCTGTAACATGAAGACACACTCCTAGTGTACCTTCCTCCTTAACGCTGGATTTGAGAATCAAACCTACTAATGTACTTGAAACCTCCTTGAGTAAGGGACTTTGTTGACACTAACGAGTATTATTAACCATGGAAGGACCTGGGGTGTCAGGATTTTGCCTGGCAGCTGCACCTGTGCACCTGCAGGCCTTCTGACTTCCCTGCTTCTCTTCTCCAGGAGCTTGGCTCATCACTGGGGGATCCCACGCTGGGGTGATGAAGCAGGTGGGTGAAGCGGTGAGGGACTTCAACCTGAGCAGCAGCTACAAGGAAGGTGATGTCATCACCATTGGAGTTGCCACCTGGGGCACTGTTCATAACCGGGAGAGTCTGGTCCACCCTATGGTGAGTGGAGTCTGCCCTGGGATGGGGGCAGGTCAGAGTGGGAGTGTCGTGGGAGGGAGAGGGTGTGAGGAACACGCTCATAGATATGCAATGAATAGACCGTCATCTGGGCACCGAAGGGAAGAATGGGGTTCAGGAGACCCACCCAAGTCCTGCCCATGCCATGGACCCAGTGACCTGGACAAGCAGCTTCATGGATGGACTCCAGTTTCCTTCCTCAAGACTACAGGGAGGATCCACATAAGAACCATATCAGAGCCACCATGGCTTGAGGGCCATCCTCATGGCTCCTCTGATGAAAAGCCATGAAATGGACTGGGGAGGGAAGTAACTTGGCCAGGGTCACAGCCAATGACCACTTGAGCTGGGCTACCCCCAAAGCCTGAGCTTTGAAGCTCCACTTGCTGAGGTCCCACACCCCCCACCGCCAAAACAAACAAACAAACAAACAAACAAATGCCATTGAGCCACCCTGTGAGTGTCAGAGTAGAACAGTGCTCCATGGGGTTTTCAATGGCTGACTTTCTGGAAGTAGATTGCCAGGAGTTTCTTCTGAGGTGCCTCTGGGTGGGCTTGAACCTCCAACCTTTTGGTTAGCAGCCGAGTGCCTCAATGATTTGTGCCACCCAGGGACTCTGAGGTTTCCCCAGCCCAGGAATTCCATGATGCTGTGATTCCAAGGCAGTCAATACCCACAGCAAGCTTCCCTTGTAGGAGGAAAGACAGAGCTCACTTGTGTCTATTTAACTGGTTTAGCAGTGAGAATCAATGCCTTAAATAAAGAGACGAGTTGGAAAACGTCATGGGATTCATTCAACAAGTTTTTTAAGGACATGTGACATTTGACATTGTGGGCACAGGTCCTGTTAATTCGCATGGTCAGAAAGGTTCAGGATACATTGATCCATGACTTGTGCAGGAGACTTTGCTGTAACTGCCATATTTATGAGTGGTCATTTATGCACAGGATACTTCATCTGCTCTGGCAAAGGCCACCTGCACTTATTCCCAGGGGAAGAGCCTCCTTGGCGTGGTAAGTCCTCTGCCAGTCACAGATGCCCATGGAGGGCTGCAGCCAGGCCCTGGACAGCCTGTGCTGGCCTTTGTCTTCCTTTTGTATCAGAATATGAGATGGGTGCAGCTGGGCTGGGTTGCGTCAACTGTTGGGTCTTTCATACCCATTTTACTGAGTGGAAAACTGAGGCTAAGAGACACTGCGTGACGTCCAAGATCTCCCTTTACCGTGCTCTCCAGTCCCAGTTCATAAGACTTGTCATTATACCACACCCCCATCCTGTATGGCCATCGGTGGGAACTACCCCTGAAAGTGTGAGGAGACCCTCCATCCTCCGTGGATGCCAGGGGATGTGTGTCCTGGCCCAGCAGCTCTCCTGTATGAGTGTCCTGTGGCTGCTGTAACAAAGTACCACAAACCTGGTGGCTTAAAACAACATAAATGTATTCTCTCACAGTTCTGGAGGCTGGAAGTCCAAAATCAGTATCACTCGGCCAAAATCAAGGTGCCAGCAGGGCTGCGATCCGTTCAGAGGCTCTAGAGGATTCTTCCTTGTCTCTTCCAGCTTCTGGTACCACCAGGCATCCCTTAACTTGTGGCTGCATCACTCCAATCTCTGCCTCCATCTTCACATTGCCTCCTTCTCTTCTGTGTGGGTCTAATCTCCCTCTGTGTCCCTCTGATAGAGACATTTGCCTAGCCAGAGAGTCCAGGATAGTCTCCCCATCTCAAGATCCTTAACCACATCTGCAAAGATCTTTCCAAATAAGGTGACAATTACAAATTCCAGGGACTAGGACGTGGATATCTTTGGGAGACCATTATTCAGCCTACTAGACCCCCGCAACATCACCACAGGAATCCCTGGATGGCACAAATGGTTAACATGTTCAACTGCTAACTGCAAGTTTGGGGGCACAAGTCCACCCAGACAGAGGCACCTTGGAAGAAAGTCCTGGAGATCTGCTTCTGAAAACTCCACCATTAAACACCCTATGGAGCACAGTTCTGCTCAACACACATGAGGATGCCATGAGTTGGGGGCCGACTTGAGGGCAACTGGTTTGGTTTTTTCGGTTTAACATTCTCAGTGTTGAAACCATGGTACTTTCTGTCCACCCATCTATCTCTTGTCTGGCCGTTCCAGGGCGGCTTCCCTGCCGAGTACGTCCTGGACGAGGAAGGCCAGGGGAACCTCACCTGTCTGGATAGCAACCACTCCCACTTCATCCTGGTGGACGATGGGACCCACGGCAGATATGGGGTGGAGATTCCCCTGAGGACCAGGCTGGAGAAGTTCATATCGGAACAGACAAAAGAAAAGGGAGGTGAGTGGGGTGGGCTGTTGGGGCACTCTTCAGGGAGCAGTGGTGGCAGGATGTTAGGGTGTTCATTGCGGTGGGATGCAGAGGGACGTCAGATGCACCTGTGTCTCTTCTCCTGCCATCTCTTTACACTTGGTCTGTCAGAGAAGAAATGGCACTGGATGATGTTCAGACAGACGAGGACAACTTTATTACAAAAGAATTTCTGGAAGGGGAGAGAAAGGGCTAAAGGAAGGGTGGAAAGGAGAAAAAGGGGCAATTGGGCAAGACCCAAGAGCCTCTGAGTCCCCTACTCACTTAAGAGGGGTTGATGATTGGCCTGAGGTTGCAATTAGGGCGAGTCTGCTGGGAATGTTTTCTTTTCTTATGGTAAGGCCACCTGGGTCCTGGGAGACCCAGAGGAAGAGGAGGGTGAGAGTTGGGTGCTCAGAGAAAGGAAGGTTTGGGAGACATTCTGAAGTTATTTAAACAGAGTAGACCAGTAAGCCCTTCTCAGTTAGTTGATTATAGTAAGCCTTCTCCTGAACACCCAAGAGTGAAGGATGTTCTTGAACAAAGGGCTCCAGTAAAATTCAGTTGAGCTAGGATGACCTTCTTCTGCCCCTGCACTGAGACCCCTTTGACAAGTGGGAGGAAAGTTAGGGCAGGCCTGGCTTCTTTGCTTACGCTCAGGTAACAGGCTTTCATACAGTCACTTGAGACCACAGCACAGTCTCAGGGTCAGAAGTGAGGATGTGGAAGAGTCAAAACTCGGAACTGGATGTCTTCCTTGTAGATGGAATGGGATGGATTCAAGGAGATTTGGAGGGTCAAATACATGGGATAGTGCATGTGATTTGAGGAGGGGCTGAAGAAAGAATCAGAAAGAATAGGATGGTATCTATCCCTATTACCTGAATTGGTCCATAAATCTTTAGAGCCCTGGAGCCTTGTGGGCATCACAGTCCCCTGCAGGGCTTGTCAGAACAGAGCACCGAGCCCTCTGCAGAGTCTCTGGTCAGGAGTTCTAGTGGGGTTGAGAACTTGCATTTGCACCAATTCCTAGGTGATGCTGTTGCTGCTGGTCCAGAGACCACACCTGGAAAACCTCAGCTTTGACAGAGAAAACCAAAGCTGGGGAGTGTTTGGGATGTGAGTGTGCACAGACAGTGAGGTCACTGTTGGCACCTGGATAGAAAATTGACGTCCAGGGAAAGAGATTTCTAAAGTCTTAACAAGGCCCCCTTTCTGCTGTGCCCGGTGAGGCTGGCTGGACGGACAGAGGACAGGTTTCCTGGCCTTACCCCTGCCCCGTGCAGGATACTCCCTTGCTTGATGTGTCCCCAGAGGTATGCCCAGATTTTAAGGAGTCACAAAAAGGTTTACAGAGAAGAGTGACCTGATGATTCATAGTTGCCACAGCAAGTTGAATGCCTGCCTGGTAGACAAGACAGGCATGGGGTGTGTTTCTTAGTTACTTAGTGCTGCTATAACAGAAATACCACAAGTGCATTGCTTTAACAAACAGAGGCTTATTCTCTCACAGTTTAGGAGGCTTGAAGTCTGAATTCAGGGTGCCAGCTCCTGGGGAAGGCTTTCTCTCTTTGTCGGTTCTGAGAGGAGGTCCCTGTATCAATCTTCCCCTGGCCTAGGAGCTTTCCAGCATAGGGACCCCTGGTCCAAAGGATGCACTCTGCTCCTGGCACTTCTTTCTTGATAGTGTGAGGTCCCACTCCTCTCTGCTCTCTTCTCTCTTTTATATCTGATCCTGTAGATTGAGTCCTGCCTCATTAACATCATAGAAGTTAGTATTTACAACACATAGGATAATCACATCAGATCACAAAATGGTGGACAACCACACAATACTGGGAATCATGGACTGGCTAAGTTGACACACATTTTTGGGGAACACAATTCATAACAGGGAGGATTTGGGGTGTCAGCTCTAATCAACTGTGTCCCTAGTCCTTCCCTCCACTCAAGAAAGTGAACAGGAGTAGAAGGCAAGTGGGCAAGAGAGGTTGGACAACAGGGTGTTCTTGAGTTTGCTGTGGTTTATATAGAATAATTCAGAAGAAAATCCTGGAAAGCTGCTTCCAAAAGTTCATAGCCTTGAAAACCCTTCGGAGTGCAGTTCTACTCTGTACACATGGGGTCACCATGAGTTGGAATTGACTCGATGGCAATGGCTTTTGGTTTATATAGATATAGAGTAAATCAATCATCTGCAAATTCTGGAGCATCAACCTTTAAAGCTACTTATTCCCTGCAGTGCATCTTCCAACAGGTGACTAGGAAAGGCAGTTCCAGTACTGTGAACTGGAGCAAACAGGGGAATGGGGAAGAGTGTCCCCACGGTGGAGGGCCTGAGCCCCCACCCCCTAGTTCAGGGCACCATGTTTTGTCCTAGGGGTGGCCATCAAGATCCCCATCGTCTGCGTGGTGCTGGAAGGCGGCCCTGGCACACTGAACGTAAGTACTGGCTGGCCTGGGTGGGGGTTGCTCGGGTCAGTTCCTGATGCAGACGAGTGATGGGCCCAAGGAGCTCCTTTGCCAGCATTCCAGGGGATCATTGGCAGGAGATGGCAATAGGCTTGGTTTACTCAAGATGGAGGAAGTGAGGGTCCACCATGTAAAAAGGGGACCATTTCCAGGTGGGATTGAGCAAGGAACCTGCTAGAGGGCGCCCTGGCTCCATGGAGTTGACTGGTGTGGACGTTAGAGACGGGCTCTAGAAGGGACTGGAGCAAGGATGGAGTCAGTAGCCCTTGGCTTCCAGGGGTTCCCTGGGGCATCCAGTGTGATTATTTCTACAAATCCACCACCCAGGCTCCCCCAGGAGTGTTTTCGAAGTGCAGACCCTTGGACATCCCTCCCCTCCCCTCCGCCAGATCTGTGGAATCAGCAGCTGTATTTAAAATCAGCTCCTCTGGTGATTTTAACATGTTGCTAATGGACTGTCTTGGTTTTCTAGTGCTGCTGTAACAGAAATACCACAAATGAGTGGCTTTAAAGAATGGAAATTTATTTTCTTACAGTTCAGGAGGCTAGAAATCCAAATTCAGGGCACTGGCTCTAGGGGAAGGCTTTCTAACTCTTTTGGCTCTGGGGGAAGATCCTTGTCTCAGCTTCTGCAGCACTGGCGTTCCTTGGCAATCTTCCTGTGACCTCTGTCTTTCCCTGTTTGTGCTCCTTGTCTCTGTGTCTATGCTCCTCCTTATAATTCAGCAGTGATTAGGTTTAGGACACATCCTATACTGACAGGGCCTCATTAACACGACAAAGAAAACCCTATTCCCAACAGGTATGTTGTGTGCCTTCTTTATGGGAGCAGCTCCCCGGGTCTTTTCTCCCGCCGACATTTTGGTTAGTAGCTGAGCACTTAAACCATTGCACACCAAGGCTGGTGTAGGGGTTAGGTATAGGGATGACACAGGTATTGGGGTTAGTATTCCAGCACATAGTTTTTGAGGGAACACAATTTAATCCATAACATGGACCTTTATTCGGAAACCATCTTGTGGCGTGTGGTCTGCCTCTTTGACGCAAACGTAACCAGCTTTATTTCTGCTGTAGGAATGTATGATGACATCACAGTCTGAGGATTTGGGGGCAAGAGTATGAACATTTTATTTACGAGGTAGTAAAAAATGTCTCTGTTTATGTTTTATAATATCAGGAGGTCCAAATAGAGCCCTGGAGTATCCTAGCTGAATGGGAATACAGTTGATCCCCATTATTTGGGATTCGCCTCCTTGATAAAATTTACCTGTGACTCCAAAATCAAGGCTTGTGATGTTTTCCTGGTCTTTTGTAAACATGCACAGAGTGGCAGAAAATCTGAGTCCCCCAACGTGCATGTTCCCAGCTGAAGTTAACAAGGTGACACTCTGCCTCCTTGTTTCAGCTCTTGTACTGTAAACAGTGTCCTTTTTGAGATCTATTTAGTGCCATTTTTTTTTTCATTTTTGTACTTTTTGTTGGTGATTTTGCTGTTTAAAAGGCCCCCAAGTGTAGCGCTGAAGTGCTGTCTGGTGTTCCTAAGTGCAGGAAAGCTGTGATGTGCCTTACAGAGAAAACTTAGGTGTTAGGTAAGCTTTATTCAGGCAGGGAGTTATAGTGCTATTGGCCATGAGTTCAATGGTAATGAATCAACAATGTATCTTTAAAGAGAAGTACACATAAAACAAGGCTACATATTGATCAATGAATAACAATGTTGTGACCAGAGGCTTGCAGGAACCTAACCTTGTATTTCCCCTGGAGCAGTGGTTCTCTATTTGCTAATACAAGTGTTTGCGATGACTTTACAGGACACAGCTATGATGAATAATGAGAACTGACGGTATATAGAGTTTCTGGTCCCCCCTCACTCCCAGTGTAGGCTGGTTCTCCTGACAGATGGCAGCTGGACTCTGCTAACTCACCCCAGAGTGGGCACTTACTCATGTTGGAGGGGTCCTTCCTGTTTGATAGCTTTGTTAGAAGTCACTTCCTGGAGTTGAGCAGAAGCTAGGGCCTATGACCTCACCCTGGGCCTTAGAGAATGAGTGTCACTCCTCATCCACGCGACAGGCTTCTGTTTGTGGAGGATGACACTTGTGTCCACATGTCAGTGGGTAGAAGTATCATGGAACCTTCATCACGGTGGTGTTGGTGGTCAGCCCGAAACCACTGTTGCTTCAGGTGTCCACCCCACAGCACGTCAGGATCAGCCACATTCTCCTCTGAGCAGTGGGATGCTCCAAATAATGAATGTCTTAAGCAGATTTCACTAGGGCAGTTGGCCCTGAAATGAAACACTGTTTAAGTCTGAGAATTATCCATTTTAGAAAGTGTCAGAGAAAGGCAAGGATCCTGGTACCTGGGAGTCAGTGGGGCAGAGAGACAGAAGTTTTTGTTTGCACTAATATATACTTACCTAAGGAGCCCTGGAGGCATAGTGGTTAAGCGGTTGCCTGCTGCCTCAAAGGTTGGTGGTTCGAACCCACCATCTGGTTCACAGAAAAGAGATGTGGCAGTCTGCTTCTATAAAGATTGCAGCCTTGGAAACACATGGGAACAGTTCTGCTTTGTCCTATAGGGTCTCTAGGAGTTGGAATCGACTTCACGGCAATGGGTTTTTATACTTACCCACTTGGAAAAGGCAAACTATTTTGTACCGTTTATAAACCTTCAAAGGAGCCCTGGTGGCACAGTGGTTAAGAGCTCGACTGTTAACCAAAAGGTCTGCAGTTCGAATCTACCAGCCGCTCCTTGAAAACCCTATGGGGCAGTTCCTGTCTGTCCTATAGGTTACTATGAGTCAGAATCGACTTGATGGCAGTGGGTTTGGATTTTGGTTTATAAGCCTCCAAACTGCAGATTTATAATCATGCTCTTTGTATAAATATCCTGGGGCTGCTGTAACAAAGTACCACAAACCAGGTGGCTTAAAACAGCAGAAATTTATTCTCTCACAGTTCTGGAGGCTGGAGATCCAAAATCAGAGTGTCAGCAGGGGCATGTCATCTCTGAAGGCTCTAGGGGAAGATCCTTCCGTGTTTCTCCCGGCTTCGAGCAGCCCAGGCGTTCCCTGGCTTGTAGGTGCATCAGCACAGGACCGTCTTTTTCTTGTGTCTCTCTGTGCCTCTTCTCCTCTTATAAGGACACTAGTCATACAGGATTACAAAAAAAACAAACTAAACCCATTGCTGTCGAGTTGATTCCGACTCAGAGCAACCCTTTAGGACAGAGTAGAACTGCCTCATAGGGTTTCCAAGGAGCGCCTGGTGGATTCGAACTGCCGAGCTTTTGGTTAGCAGCTGAGCTCCTAACCACTGTGCCACCAGGGTTTCCATACAGGATTAGGACCCACCATACTCCATTACAACCTCATCTTAACTGACAACATCTTCAAAGACCCTATTTCCAAATAAGGTCATGTTGACAGGTATCATGGGCTAGGACTTCAGCACATCTTTTGTGGGGGACACAATTCAACCCAGAACACTGTTCTTGACACTTGCTCTTTTAGGCTGCAAATGACCCCATATTTTCAAGATATTTTTGTGAGCCTCAGGAATCTCCTGTATATTTTACCATTTAAAGAGAGTTACTGGGCTGAGGGCTGGGGACCATGGGCTCGGAGGACATCTAGGTCAATTGGCATAAAGAAAACGTTCTACATCTGACTTTGGTGAGTAGTGTCTCAGGTCTTAAAAGCTTGCAAGTGACCATCTAAGATGTATCTCTTGGTCCCATCCCATCTGGAGCAAGGAGAATAAAGAGAACCAAAGACACAAGGGAAATATTAGCCCGAAGGACTAATGGACCACAAGTACCACAGTCTCTACCAGCCTCAGCCCAAAATGTTTAGATGGTGCCTGGCTCCCACCACCAACTGCTCTGACAGGGATCAGAATAGAGGGTCCCAGACAGAGCGGGAGAAAAATGTAGAACAAAATTCAAATACACAAAAAATAAAACAAAAAAAACCCTCAGACTTACTGGTCTGACAGAGACTGGAGAAACCCCGAGACTATGGCCCTTGGCCACCCTTTTAACTCAGAATGGAAGTCACTCCTGAAATTTACCCTTCAGCCAAAGATTAGAAAGGCCCATAAAGCAAACAATAACACGTGTGAGGAATATGCTTCTTAGCTCAATCATGTAAATGAAACCAAACAGGTAACACATGCCCAGAATCAAAGCTGAGAAGGCAGGAAGGGACAGGAAAATGGGACGAATGGGAACAGGACACCTGGGGTGGAGAAAGGGAGAGTGTAGATACATCGTGGGGATTGTAACCAATGTCACAAAACAATTTGTGTATTAATTGTTACATGAGAAACTAATTTGCTCTGTAAACTTTCACCTAAAGCACAATTAAAAGTAAAAAACACAGTTATTTTTAAATAGTACACACTCTGATGTAACGGGAGAGAGCCTGTTTCTGAACGGATGGTGTTATTCTTTTACGAACAATGTTGTACATGGATTTTATAAACGTATTCTAATTGTTAACAATAACAACGACAAAAAGGCAGCGTGGCCAGCAGGCTCACCCTCCTCCTATGCTGCAGACCATCTACAACGCCATCACCAATGGCACCCCCTGCGTGATCGTGGCAGGCTCGGGCCGTGTGGCTGATGTCATCGCCCAGGTGGCCCACCTGCCCATCTCAGAGATCACCATCTCCCTGATCCAGAAGAAGCTGAGCATGTTCTTCCAGGAAATGGAGATCTTCACGGAAAGCAGGATCGTGGAGTGGACCAAAAAGGTAAGGTAGATGGGCATGCCAGTCAACAGGTGTGTGGACCCACCAGGACCAGGACACGCAGGACCAGGGGCCAAGTGCGCCCAGGTGGCTGGGGTGGCATGGGCGTGATGTGCCAGGGGTGGGAGGTTTGAGGTCAGCAGGAGCCTTGTCCATTGGGCCCAGGAGGTCTAGCTGAGGCAGCATGGTTGGCTGTCCAGAGGATGGGTCTCCGTGGTGCGTCAGACCATCATACAGCAACACCCAGGTTTCAAAGATTTTGGGGAGCCTCACTCTATAAGATAGATGAGAGTGGGGCTGCTCTGGTCATGGGGGAGGGGGGTGGGGGCTCTGGGGCACTCCCCTCAGCCCTGAACCCTGAGCCTCATGGGGCACCCTTGAAATCTCTGGTTTGGATGGACCTTTCCTGTTCCTGTTTGACTTCTCTCTGACCCAGGTACATCACCACTATTACAAATGAAGGGCATAATTGCCCAGCATCCCAGCCATTTTGCTTTTAAGTGAGTTGATACCTTGCTCTTTTGTACCAACAGTGGGTGGTAAGAAGGCTTAAAGAAGGGTTAGGGTGTTACAAGGGCCACTGACAGATGAGCCCTGTGGTGGAGGAGGCAGGGACTCAGTACTGGAATATAAAGAAGGAGTTCGCAGAGATACCCGGGGCATTGAAGTCACCCCCAGAGCGGCCATCTCTCTAATCCAGAGTTGAATTTCGCTGGGGGGAGCGCCTTGACGAGATTTGCAGAGGGACCTTGGCCCCAGCCATGATCCCAGCCTCAAGAGGAGGGGCAATGGGAAAGTGTGTGGCTGCGTGCCCCTGAGCCCTTGCCTGGCCAGGGTGAGCTTGTGGGATGCACCCCCTGCCCATGCATCTGCTGATACCTTTTGTCCCATCAACCCTGCTGTCTCTGGCCGAAACCCAAACTGCAGGGCCTGGCTCACGGGTTCCAAGGCCATAGTGCCAAAATAGGTAAGATAGAGATAGATGGATAGATAGATATAGATGATAGATAAGCTATAGATAGATAAGTAGGTAGATTGATAGATACAGGTGATAGATAAGATATAGATAGGTATCATAATAGATAAGATATAGACAGAAAGAAAGATAGGTAGAGATGATAGATAAGCTATAGATAGATAAGTAGGTAGATTGATAGATACAGGTGATAGATAAGATATAGATAGGTATCATAATAGATAAGATATAGATAGAGAGAAAGATAGGTAGAGATGATAGATAATTAAATATAGATAGATAAGATACAGATTAAAAAAAACAAACATGATACCGTCAAGTCAATTCTGACTCACGGCAACCCCACGTGTAACAGAGTAGAACTGTACTCCGTAGGGTTTTCTTGGCTGTAATCTTAATGGAAACAGATAACCAAGCCTTTCTTTCGTGGTACTGCTGGGTAGGTTCAAACTGGCAATCTTTAGGTGAGTGGTTGAGCTCAAACTGTTTGCCCCACTCAGGGACCCCTAAGATATAGATGATAGATGAATGGATGGATGGATGGATGGATAGATAGATGTTAGATAGATGATAGATACAAGTGATAGATATATAGGTGATAGATAAGATATAATAGCTAAATAAATAAACAGGCTGTCTATTTCCTGGGAGGATTCTATGAGAGGACTATCAGTGCTTCTCCGACCCTTGGTTTCCCCGAAAATAAACTAGGACTGCAAAGCGGTTGGTTACCATATCTCTCATACAGCTCCTTGAAGATAAACAAGGCTGTCAAAAACACCTGGAAATTACCACACACAGAGTTAGATGACTAATGTGTGCTTTTGGGCTAAGTCTGTGAAGCAGCATTATTCAGCCTGTGTTTAATTTCAGGTTGAAGGTTACGTGTTCTATCCATGCCCCGCAGCCAAAGACCGAAGGACCACAACTGTAGTTGACCAAGCTGAGTTTAGGACTCGTTGAGTGAGGGAAGACCACAAACCATGGGGAACTGCAGGGCTTCAGGAAGAGGGTGTTAGAAAGAGCCTGTTGCAGGATTGGAGCTTTGCTTGGGTGATTGGGGGAGACTCTAAGGCAGTAAGGTGTGCTCTAGGTCGGAAAGTGAATCAATTCTGTGATTGGGTGTTTTGTGGGGACACAGGGACCTTGTGTTTAATCTGTGTCTTATCATGGTCTCAGAGTGACCTCATTAGATAACAGATGTTCTTTGAGATGCTTTGTGTCCAACAGGAGGACAATATGATGTAACCATGAGTGTCAACTTGGTTTGTAAACACATTGAGGTCTAGCACAAGCATCAGCTCAGCTTTGGACGTCCAGGTGGCTGTTCTTGCTCGGAGCCATTGGAGATTGAGTGGGCAGGCATGGAACATTCCCTCCGTCAGTGTATAAAGTACTGAGGCCGTTCTCAGAACTGAGTTGAGCCTACGTTGTCTAAAGGTGCTTGTTTGGTAAACCCACAAGTCAATGTATGATATCAAGACCCTTGAGATGATGGTTCACACATGTCAGCCTCATGCCTTATGAGGGATCACCGCATGCTGTTACTCCTGTTCAGCAGGAGGGCCCCTAGCTAGGTAGTCATCTCAATTCATTCATTCAGCAGACCTCAGAGCCTAGGTTTGCACCAGGTTCCGTGGGTGGCAGGGATTGAAAGAGACATCGGCTGTGTGGATTCTCATTGCTGGAAGTCAAAGCCAACGCTTAGTAGCTGTGTGGCCCTTGGGGAGAGTGCTTAGTCTTTCCAAGCATTGCTTTTAGTATCTGTAAAATATTAATATTTAAACTCAGAGGTTGAAACAAGATCATTTGTGTAAGCACTTAGTATAGTGTCTGGCATTTCAGTTCGCAATAAATGGTAGCTACTTTATTATATAAATCAAGTGCTGGACTAAATTCAAGAGAGAGGAATGGTTGAGCTTTTAGGGATGGAGGTGGAGCATGTGAGGGCGCCCTCTAGGTGTGGGCCATGGTCTGCACAGGGGCATGGGCAGGATGGCCCAGCAGAGATGAATGAGGTGTGGGTACAAGGTTGGGGAGAGGAACTGGGAAGGCAGGGCCAGGGTGGGTGTGGCTGGGCGGAGAACCAGGGGAAGGAGTCTGAGGGTTATTTGGAGAGTGGCGTTCAGGGAGTCCCTGGCAATGTTTAGGAAGGGCATGTGTGGTAAGATGCATTTGTGGAATGCCCACCTGGCAACAGGGTGAAGGAGTTTCAGGGAGAAGTGACTGGTAGCAGGCAGAGCAGCTAGGAGACATCAAGATAGATGGATGGATAGCTAGATAGATGATAGATGATGGATAGATAGATGGATGGATGGATTAAGTAGGTAGGTAGATTGATGATAAAGAGAGGTAGATAATGGATAGATAAGATAAATACAGATAGGTTCAATAGAAAGATAGAGATAGGATGGTGGGTAGGTTAGGTAGGTAGGCATGTAAGTAGGTAGGGTAAGTGGGTAGGTAGGGTGATAGGTAGGTAGGGTGTGGAGATAGGTAGGCAGGTAGGTAGGTAGGATAGGGAGGTCGGCAGGCAGGCAGGTAGGTAAGTAGGCGGGTGGGTAAGAAGCATTCTGGCCCCAGGGGAGGACTGTCTTAGCCTGGGTTCTCTAGAGGAGCAAAACCAGTGAAGCATGTATATATATATATATGTAGAGAGAGAGAGAGAGAGAGATTTATCTCAAGGAAATGGCCCCTGAAGTTGTGGAGGCTAGCAAGTTCCAAACCATGGATCAGGCATCAGGCTGGAGGCTTCTCCTGACTCACGTGGTCACAGGGTCTAATGAACCCAAAATTGACAGGTCAGGCAGAAGGCTACTGGCTCACGGGGTTGCAAGAACTGGCGAATCCCAGTATCTGCAGGTCAGTTGGCAGGCTGCTGGCTCACGTCCCAAGAACCAGAGGTCAGAAGATGATGAGTTGGATGCAGGATCCAGAGAGAGCTTTGCAAGAACATACATAGTATCAGATGCAGGCCACACCCCCAAGGAAACTGACTGGCTTTCAACTGATTGGTCTTTCAACTGATTGGGTGCTCACACCAGATCACAAAATGGAGAATGATTACATAATATCTGCCAAACCACTGCGAATCATGGTCTAGAAGAGTTGACACATAACCTTAACCATCACAAGGAGCATCCTTGCTTTAGGTGATCTGGGTGTTCACCTGAGTCACCGCTGAGTGAAGATTCTGGGTCTTGTTTTCAGTGACGAGCCACTCACATTGTGAGTTTGGTCTTTACAATACCTCCATCTTCTCATCAATGCTCGGGAGGCAGGGTGTTGTCCTGCTGCATGGAGCAGACTGAACACTGGCTCCATGTCCCATGCCTGTTTCCTCTGTGCCCCGGGAAGGAGCAGAAAACCGCTGTCACTGCATATCTCACGTAGGCATGTTTGGTTGCAGATCCAAGACATTGTCCGAAGGAGGCAGCTGCTGACCATCTTCCGGGAGGGCAAGGATGGCCAGCAGGACGTGGACATAGCCATTCTGCAGGCCCTACTGAAGGGTGAGGGCAGGGGAGCAATGGCGAGGGGCTGCTGGGGAGGGATGGTGGGGAAGGGGCTCAGGCATAGCCTAGAGGTCCTGCAATTTTGGGAGATAAAAACACAGCCCTTCGGTCTTGTTGCTCCTAACAAAGGAGGCGAGAGCCCTGGTCAGAAGGTGGCCCATCTCCTCTCCTACTGGGTGGTGGATGCCCTGCCCCCAATGTTAGGGGCACACACCCCTTCTTCAACACATCTCCTTGACGGAGATCATTTGTTGTTGTTAGCTGCTGTGGAGCTGGGCCCCCGACTCAGGGCAACTCCATGCACAATAGAGTAAAACACTGCCCGGTCCTGCACCATTGCCATGATCAGTTGCAGATAGGACCATTGTGATCCACAGGGTTTTCCAGTCACTGATTTTCATAAGTAGATTGCCAGGCTTTTCTTCCTAGTGTGTCTTAGTCTGGAAGCTCCACTGAAACCTCTTCAGCATCATAGCAACACACAAGCCTCCACTGACAGACGCGTGCTGGCTGTGCATGAGGTGCATTGGCTGGGAATTGAACCCAGGCCTCCTGCGTGGAAGGCGAGAATTCTACCATTTGAACCGCCAATGCTTCTGTGCCTTTATGTTTTCTTAAAGATATCTTTTGAAGAGCAAATGTTTTTAATTTTAATGAAATTTAATCTGTCAATTTTTTCTTATGTGGCTTATATTTTTTGTGTCCTATCTAAGAAATCTCTGCATACTCCAAGTTTGCAAATATTTTCTCCTGTGTGTGGAGATGCTTTATAGAAATAGCTCTTGCATTTAGATGTATGACCCCCTTAGACTGATTTTTGTGTGGTGGTCCTCCCCAAATAATAACCCACGTTTTAAAATGTTAAACTAGAAAGAAAGAGCAGAAACTATGTGGAAAAAATACTTGTGTTGAGATCCTGGGAGAGTTGATGGTTGTGATTGAGGCGTCCTTGCAGTAGAGTCCAGAAAGGAAGCATAAAGGCTGATGCAGTTCTAATTTTTGAATGCCAATTTAAAAATGCCTGCCAGAACTTCCAGAGACCTGCTTGCCACTGGTCCCTTAGGGATGGTGGGCACAGCCAGGGATCAGGGGCCAGGTAGGGAAGCAGGGGTGAGCTGAAGGGATGATTGAAACCCGAAGATTCCCTGATTCTGTTTTCAAGCTGACATGGGAAGTCTTTTTTAAGGGTGTGTGGACATGGGGAGGATTTTGCAACTCAGCACTGCTTTTATTCACTTAAAATTATTGGGAGATTGAGGTTGATGGTAACACCCTAATCTTCTGAGTCTGTCAGGCAGCAGGTGCTGAAGGAAATAGCTTTGAGACCCAGGTTGAAGGCCCCCTGATGCACGCTTTTGCCTGCAGCCTCTCGGAACCACGACCACTTTGGCCACGAGAACTGGGACCACCAGCTGAAGCTGGCAGTGGCGTGGAACCGCGTGGACATCGCACGGAGTGAGATCTTCACTGATGAACAGCAGTGGAAGGTAAGTTCTCAGGGCTGCCTGAGAAGGCACCGCTGGCCCCATGGTCATTCCTCAGGAGCAAGGGCAGGCCGTGGAGGGCACCGTGTCTAGGTCCCAGCCCTCCCCTCCCTCAGTACTGGGTGACCTGGAAAGGTTTCATTCTTGTAAAATGGAGGTGATAGTAGCCCCCCTCTCCGGGGTCTCTGAGAAGACACAGGAGATGATGGCCAAATGCAACCCCCTCTGTCAGCCTTCAGATCTGCACCCCATGATGACCGCTGCCCTCATTTCCAACAAGCCTGACTTTGTGAAGCTCTTCCTCGAGAACGGGGTGCAGCTGAAGGAGTTTGTCACCTGGGACACCCTGCTGTATCTGTACGAGAACCTGGCACCCTCCTGCCTGTTCCACTGCAAGCTCCAGAAGGTGCTGGCCGAGGAGCCCGAGCGCCTAGCCTGCACTCCCGCCGTGCCCCGCCTGCAGATGCACCACGTGGCACAAGTGCTGCACGAGCTGCTGGGAGACTTCACGAAGCCACTCTACCCCCGGCCCCGGCACAGTGACCGGTCGCGGCTCTCGCTGCCTGTGCCACACATCAAGCTCAACGTGCGTGCTGGTGACAGGCTCTGTGTCATCCCTGCTCAGCTGCACATGGCACTGAGGTTTTAAAAATTATCCATCCATCCTCCATGCATCCATGCAGGCATCTATGCATCCATGCATCCATCCATGCATCCATGCATCCATCCATGCATCCATCCATGCATCCATGCATCCATCCATCCATCCACGCATCCACGCATCCATGCATCCATGCATCCATCCATGCATCCACCCATCCATCCATGCATCCATCCATGCATCCGTGCATCCATCCATCCATGCATCCATCCATGCATCCACCCATCCATCCACCCATCCTTGCATCCATCCATGCATCCATGCATCCATGCATCCATGCATCCATCCATCCATCCATCCATCCATCCATCCATCCATCCACCCACCCACCCACCCATCCATCCATCCATCCACCCACCCGTCCATCCATTTACCCATCCGTTTATTTATTTATTTGACTTTATTTTTTAGAGCAGTGTTATTTTTGGTTTTGTTTTTTAAATTAGCTGCTGTTGTGTTGGTCCCCAGCTCATGGCAACCCCAGGTACAACAGAATAAAACACTACCTGGTCTTGCGCCATCCCTGTGATTGGTTGCAGATCAGACCGTTGTGACCCACAGGGTTTTTATGAGCTCATTTTTGGAAGTAGATCGCCAGGCCTTTCTTCCTAGTCCATCTTAGTCTGGAAGCTCTGCTGAAATCTGTTCAGCATCATAGCAACACACTAGCCTCCACTGTCAAACTGGTGGTGGCTGCACATGAGGTGCTTTGGCTGGGAGTCAAACTAGGGTCTTCCACATGGAAGGTGAGAATTCTACCACTGAACCACCACTGCCCCCAGAGTAGGGTTAAGTTTACAGACAAACTGTGCATAAAGTACAGAGAGTTCCCATAGAATGCCCTTCTGCCCCTGCATAGTTTCTCCCATTATTAGTATCTTGCATTCGTGTGGTATGTTTGTCGCAGTTAATGAACCAGTATAGATACATTATTATAACCAAAGTCCACAGTTCACATGACGGTTCACTCTGTGTTGTACAGTCCTACGTTTGACAAATGCATGTTGCGTGTCCACCATTACGCTAACACACGGAACAGTCTTACAGCCCTAAAAATGCCCTGTGCGCCACCAAGGTTTTATTTTTTAAAAATTAGCTTTTGTTTTTTATTAGAAAAGAAATATATTCCCTATTCTAAAAGAAAAAAAAAATTCAAACAGTCCAAAAGGTTTTGCAGGGAGAATGATCTTTTTTTTTTTTTTAAATTTTTTTTATTGTACTTTAGGTGAAGGTTTACAGAACAAATAGTTTCTCATTAAACAGTCAGTACACATATCGTTTTATGACATTGGTTAACAACCGTACGACATGTCAACACTCTCCTTTCTCGACCTTAGAGGACTTTTTTTTGGTGAAAATATACATAGCCAATGTTACACAATTTCAAAAATTTCTACATGTACAATTTAGTGACATTGATTACATTCTTCCAGTTGTGCTGCTATTCTCACTGTCCTTTTCCAAATTATTCCATCACCATTATCTTCAACTCACTGCCCTCTATGCTTCCCATCAAACCTTTTGAGTTGCTGTTGTCATAGTTCCTTTTTTTTGTACCTTAGATGGAAGAACAAATAGTTTCTCATTAAACAGTACACATATTACCCTATGACAATGGTTAATAACCCCTCGACATGTCAACACTGTCTCTTCTTATCCTTGGGTTCCCTATCACCAGCTTTACTCTCCTCTCCTGCCTTCTAGTCCTTGTCCCTGGACTGCTGTGCCTCATTAGTCCTGTTTTGTTTCATGAGGCGGTCCAAACCCTGGCTGAACGGTGAACTTTGGGAGTGACTTCACCACTGAGCTAAAATGGTGTCCGGGGGCCATACTCTCTGGGTTTCTCCAGTCTGTCAGGCCAGTAAATCTGGTCTTTTTTTTGTGAGTTAGAATTTTGTTCTATATCCTTTTCCAGCTCTGTCCAGGACCCTCTGTTGTGATCCTGGTCAGAGAGCTCGGTGGTAGCCGGGTACCATGTAGCTGTACTTGACTCTGTCTAGTGGAGGCCATGGTAGCTGTGGTCCATTAGTCCTTTGGACAAATCTTTTCCTTGTATCTTGTTCTCTTCTTTATCCCTTGCTCCCAAAGGGATGAGACCAGTGGAGTATCTTAGATGGCTCCTCAGAGGCTTTTAAGCCCCCGGATGCTACTCACCAAGGTAAAATGTAGAACATTGTCTTTATAAACTGTGTTATGCCAGTTGAACTAGACGTTCCCCAAGACTATGGTCCCCCCAGCCCTCCGCCCAGCAATTCAGTCCCTCAGGGAGTTTGGA